AAGATACGACAAGGTGCTGCAGAGAACGTAGGCAGAATCGGCGCGGTGTTTGTAGGTAAGCTGCACTCGATTTAGTAACCGCTTGCATGCATGCGGAGTCTCTTTACTTCAGGTGGTGGGTTTGCTATACTGTTCCATAATTGCCTACGTGAACTATCTTCTATTAACTAGCAAACGTCGCTCAAAATAATGGTAGTCAACTTAGATAATACACCCGCGTTTGTGGCATTTTCCTAACATATACTTTCTGACGCCTTGAAATTAAAGCAGATATTTTGGCAAGCGATTTATGTCATACGCTCATTTATTAACGAGCTGCGTCGGTATGTCTGCATGCATTATTCGATTTATTTCACTTAATATTGTCGTTTCGAATGATTGGCTGTTGCTTAATCTCCCCGACGTCGCTGCACTTGATGTGCACGTTGACAGAGTGCTTACCTGTCTATTACCCGCTACCTTGTCCATACTGGCTCCAGCAGACAGTTGGTCGTTGCTGGAGGGGACGAGGTGCACGGTCCTTGTGGCCGTGCTAGGCTCAAAGAGCGGTTCCATGCACTCAGTGTGCAGGGGACTACGGTCCAGCCACCGCGTTGTGTGCGCTTGATTCCCAAATTCAGCGTGCTTGTGTTTGTCTGTGAAGGAGTGTGGGCCGGCTCCGTTGATGAAACCTAGCTCCTATCCATATGCCTCCCGGTCTTATTCCTTCGGGTTTACACTGGATATGTGGTGTGTGGACGGAGCTGTGGGTGGTGCAGCGCAAGTCACCCATGGTCCCTCTGTAGGTGCAGGCGTCGTTTGGTTGGTCACAGTGACAGGCAAATCCGAGACCGGATGCCGCCAACCATATATGTATGAGATATGTCCTATGCTGAGGGCCTAATCGCATTGCGTTTGTGGTTTGCTCTCATATCATCCTGTCATTCATACTTGTGGGTCCTATGGGTTGTAGTGCGTGTACATTCTCTGTAAGGCAGAATCTGTTGTAAAGACTGACATGTGTGTATACCATGTGCACACAGTGTGTATATTTAAGGTTGTGTAATGACGCGAGAACGCGGAGGTATCACACAGACAATGTGCAATAAGAGTTACGGGTATAGCATGTGTTGGGGTGTGTAGTGGTGGGACGTGAGTGTCGGGTATGGCTAGTCTAGTTTGAGTGACGAGGCATTCTTCAGGTTGGTCAGAGAACGTCTAGTACATGAGTGAGTGACAATGATCGATCAGGTTGTCGTGTAGCTGGTAAAGGATGTCAAGAGATTAATGTGGCACAGGTGAGAATATGATCAAGTATATACATCAGATATGGAGAATGGAAAAGGAGCATTGAGGTAGGAGATAGATGGATGGAGTGTGGATTAGAGTAAGTGAGGGGATGGGGCAGAAGAGAAGTCACGTGTGTGTAGGTGGAGACAAAGCGAGCGGTTGGGCGTTGTGGGAAAGGGCTGAATACATAGACTGGGGATCATTACACGCTAGAGTTAGGTGTAGTGAACAGTGGTGGTGTGTAACAGATATAGTCCTTGTGGTAGAACTGGCGAATAGCGCAGAACGGGTTGGTGCAGGACGTGCACCACTCGGTGCCTCGACTACAGTTTATATGATCATGACGAGTGAGGACACAGGTTGAACAGTGTGTGTGCAGTGTGACGTACTTAAAGACACACATATTTGTGTGGTCAGAGTAGCTAAAAGTTCCACAAGTTAAGCAGACTAGTATGTTATACACATAGGTGGGGTAGGAGTGTGGACGAGGAGACTTGGGGATTGAAAACAAGAGAAAGAAAAATGGACAGAAAGTACTTATTACAGTAGAGGTTTGCACTGAGGCAGTAGGGTGGTGGGAACGTGAGTGTGTGGTGGATGCGAGCTTGTGAAGCTACACCCATCTGTCATAATCATGTTGTGTAAGCAACAGTGTAGGAGAGTATGACAGTACACAAGACAAGGAGGATGGCGTAAGAGTAGCGAGAAGAGAGGTGAAACAGTGAAAGGATGCAAGAGAGTGAGAGATGGTAGGAGGAAAATGAGAGGTAGTGTGGAGAAACAGGAAGTACATCACACATCGTAGCAGGGAATGGAGGGCATAGGAAGTAGTAGGTATTGATGCGAGACTGCAAGACACACAAAAGGTCCACTCAGACGATACAGTACTAAGTGACAATGTCCAGTAACAATGTGTGTCTAGTAAAACTAAAGTAGAGGATACGCAGCATATGTGCTCAGTGATAATAGTAAGTAGGATAAAGAGGAGGTATGGATTTTACCAGACTCATAAAGTATAATATTTACAGAGACGCTGACCAGACGACTGTTCATTTTTATTAGAGAAGTGCAGTGGTGAGTGGAGGGTGAGAGTAAAGATATTAAGGCATTAAATACATGTTGTTTCAGATACAATGATGATATAGAATAATGACTAAGAACTAGCGTCAGCACACATTGACATGGTGAGTTAGATGAAGATCGACTTATACTATTGGTTTGCGTTGCATTGACTTCCTGGTTTGCCCACCGTGATGAACGGAGTAGGTGGTGGTGTGGAAACAGGTGGTGCCATTCCATGCAGACACGCAAAGCGCCTGTGTGTACACAACGACGTGACCAAAAGGGACACAAGACAGAAACCGAAGAACGTTTGAAAAACCAGTGCTTATTGGTGCAATGCGTGTGTTCTGTGATTTGGGTGTACACACAGGAGTGCCTGAGTAGGCTAGCGAGTGTGGTTGTTCATAGTCGGCCCTCCTTAATACTCATTGAAACAGTTGTGCGAGGTGCACGTCAGGTATGGCACACAGCAAGCCACTGTCACAGAGCAGTCCACACATGGTGTTTGCAACAGGAAAGACGTGCAGGTGTGTAAGTTGTGCGTAACACATTGTTACGAACTTACAGACGATGAGCGCTGTGACGTGGGTGCTGTGTTAAGAGTTGGCACAGAGTGAGTAAGCGTGGCCATGCAATGATGTACACAGCAAGCAGCTCAGTTAAGTTATATATACACGATGTATACAATCAGTGTGTACACATACAGAAGGTGTTTATATAGTGGTCACATAAAACGTGTGAAGATAAGGATCAAGTCTGTGTAGGGGGTGTCTAGACTCTATGTGGATAAACGGAGGACAGAGATGCCCTCGTGTATACCTGCCAACGTCTCTACAGTTAGATATATCTAAAGGTTGCATGCACAGGTAGTGGTAGATATAACCAGGTTATTATACTACATAATGGGCTAATATGACAGACTGTAGTGATAGCACAGGTATGTGTGATGAGAACACAGTTGAGGAGTGACAATGCAGGTGTGATCAGCACACTACACACGAGTCGAACATAAGTGATGTCAATGTGTATACAAATATGTGTGATAGGTGATGCAGAGACGTGAAGAACGACATCATGAGTTACTAACATACACTTGGGCTATCAGTGGGTGCTGACATTGTGCGATGGACGTTGTGGCGCAGTATGGGGTACCATGTGGCGAGTGAGGGTAGAAGGGAGCAGGGAAAAGGCGAAGAAATCGAGGGGAACGTGTCGTTCGTTCCGACTACGCGAGCCATTAAAACTAGATCGTCACATCAAGTATGCTAACCAAATAATTTTCCGCCACGCGGTATTGTAATGCCCACATCATGTGGTTCAACTACAAAAATGGACAAACATGGGACAATTAGAAAACCATTGGTGAAACGATTGGATGTCGGAAAAACGTTCGACAGTTTACTGTAGACCCTGATGCGACCTGTAGCATTGAAGTACAGGGTAGCTAAAGGGTTCATGTATTTCATGAGGGCACCGTTCCGCACAAGCATACCGAACAGAATGGACTGATTCACTGCGTTGAACGCACACTTGAGGGGATTAAACGAAGACATCATCGGCCAGGGAACGTGATGTGCTGATCCGGTACCATCCGCAGTGTGAACACATAACCCATATATCCCCATCTAAATCTTCTTGTTCTAAGTGTTGGCGTTTGCATTTATCCTGTCCCAAAATTTCGTGTCATGATCAGGTTTCCTGGAAAGGACCACACTTTGCTCTCGTGGAGAATTATGCAAGCAAAAACTAAGACATCTGCCAATGTCAACCAACTGTTTGTTTTAAGGTGTTTGCAGTCAGAGTCAGTAATAAACCATCTTTTGTAAAAGTGTACCCCATGCGTCGAAACCAGAGGAGGTTGCAATGGAGGATAACCAACCGGCGGGTAGCTCACTCAGAATTAGCCGCCAGACACAACTGAAAGGTTAGTGATGTGCGCAGGTCGAGTTGAGTTAATGGCACATCTGTGGAATGATTCCATGAAAAAGAGGAACAACGCTATCCGCTCAAACTACAACACGAAGGACAGTGTGGGTAAAGTTGCATGGTTTAGTATGAGGGGCTCTTAAGACATCCGAAAAGCAATTCTGGGTGAAGACGATGCGAAGACGGGGAAAAGCCTTAAGGACCGGCCTCAGTTTCATGGCAGGAATGTTACAAACACTAAGTTTCACCGGCTGACGAGCGAGAGCCTGTGGACAATTCGTGTAAGAGACTGATACGGATCAGATGAAGATGTTGCGACTAGAGTTGAACTTTACAAAGAGGCGTAGTAAGCGGGGACGATTAGTGACAGCGAGCATAAATAAGCAAGATCGATATACATTATTTTCGCAGGTCGCGTTGCTAGAAGCCAAACGGAGGAACATGACTGCAGATCACTACCAGTGTGCCCAAATGTAAGAAAGGCTTGTAAAATCAATTTACAATTCTCCGCTCACACTGAACCCAACATACTCTTGTCGACAGAGTAGTCTTACATAGAACACAGAGATAGAGTTGATGGAGGAATTGGGAAGAGATAGGAAGGACGCAGTAGGCAAAAACAAACGCTGCAAAACATTAAAGTGAAAAATATGTACAAGAAAGCCCAGACTGCAAACTGTAGTTGTTTTGAAAAAAACGGGTTGTGTTCCGCCACAAATGAAGCGGTGTAGCAAAGGACTCACTTTGCGAATAGGTCCAGGATGAGCTCACCGAAGAAACGGCCATCGGAGATGTCCTCAACCCGATACACACTGGATCCATTATGTTTGTCAGGTTGTGGAACGAGTTGCAACTGGAATAAATTGGCCAATTGGTTCAGCAAACTGTACACGTACGTATCAAGGGATCCAGTGGGCGGACGAATGCGGGCATTCAATTGTGGATATGTGCCAGCAAAGTTGTACTGCTCCACAGCGTAGTCAATATCCCAAGGCTCCAGTTTGCCACCTGAAAACATTACAAATCGTAAGTGCCCGCAATGAAAGGAACGATAGTAGGGTAGAAATGAAGGAAGGATTATGGAAAGATTTTTGAGCTTAAGTTGAAGGACATCTTTGGTTCTCTGAACTGGTTAGTTGAAGCTAATGAAGAATTTCAGAACTACTAAAGGCAAACAAAACAATAGTTAAAAACACAGCAGCTAAGCACCAAGATAACCCTCTTAGAAGGTGAGAGATTGATGACCGGTTAACTCAGCGGCTCCGACAACGAAGGCAACAGTCTGCGATGCGGAATGACATCTCCATCGAAGTAGAGCGCGAGCATGTAAGGATATCGGACCTCAAGATGTTACGATGGTACTTGTGACTCAACCATCCACTGAGCGATGCCAGATGGTGCTTTCTGTTTATTCAAAGTAACTCATACCATAATAACAAGTGGTTAGAGGTAAGTCGAACTGTTATAGCTTACAGTCCGGTACGTTAGAAGTAAAACGCCGTTGCGAGACGTTAGCTATGAACTTCATTCTCACCAACTGATATATTGTGGCTCATGAACATGAGGACGTCTGTTTAGATTATCTTCATACCTAGTCCTGTATACTCAGATGTCTTGCAGGTATTGTGTGACTACATCATTTCTCAATTGATTGCGTTCTCAATGCAATCGCTTACATCCGTAAGGCAGCAGATTCCTCCGTCGCGCAGAAATTAGAATCCGATAATCACGGAAATCAGTTCCAGAACGAACTGTGGTTAACCGCTATCAGCCAATAGCATTCGGACAATACGTAAGCATGGCTGTTTAACCAATACTCAGCTGTGGCACAGAGCGATCGCGCTTTTATGGGGGGGGGGGGTAGCATAAATGGATTACAGTGAAGCTAGCCTCAAGCAACGGGTCACTTGCGTGGTCAAACTCAAATAGACGGCAGTTGAGGTCTTGTTACATGAACCTTAGTCATCGACACATCTACATGTAATGCGGCTGCGCGCACTAGTATAGAACAATGGGGTGTGTGAGGCATGTGCTGGTTCAAATAACAAAGTCTGGGGCGTAGGGTCAAAGCGAATTCCGCACAGTTCCGGATTCAAGACGAACCCAGACGCGACAGTGAAAATGCATGGAACATGAAATGAGTAGGGCGCGTAATCAAGCGCATTGTGACGGCAGTCAAAGTGCGCGTTTAGGCTGGGGGGATAGGTGAGACACGTAGGAGAGTTGACTTGGTAATCCAATACGTAGTCAGCATGTAGCAGATCGGTTACCTCATTTGATGCCACGGGTTAATTCGACCGCATTCTCCCTCAATTAGAGGTGCAGTGCAAACTACCGTTTAGTCTGAGTGAAGCTGCCAATAATGTAAGGAAGGAACGATATCCAGCATCACATAATACCTACAATGTGCTCAATCCAACTGTTTATATCAGCTGATTAAATATCACATCAGTGACGGTTCCTCAGGTCTAGTCGTACGCGCGGAGGAGGATAACGGTACTCCAACCATTGGGCGCCAATGATCGAGATAGACGGAGCAGCTCCCAGGTGGAGTGAGATATATGAAAAACTGAAGTCATCTGATAGATGTTTGATGGCGGTCCGGCAAACTCCTTTCAAATGAGAGGTTAGATTGTCACTTCTTTTACTTTCCTCCTCATTCTTCAAGTACGCGTGCCTGCACTGTTTCGTTGAAAGAAAATTTAGATTGCAACCAGCTAGTTTCGTGGGATTAGGGTTAGCGGCAGCTGGTGCACTGCCTCCCCAGAAAAACGTGTAGGCGGGGTAGATGACTGGTGACTGGACACATGTTGACCTATGTGAGGGAAATAAGTGGAGCAAAAGGCCGGGTTGATAGTTTGGCACTGAGGATACTATTGGATAGAAGGCAGTTGCTGCGAAATCGGGTGACGCGGAGCTTCGGATTTTGAGTCATGTTCCATGTTGAATTTCTGGTTGATAGTTTCCTTTTAGAGACATGGGATACAACAAGCATTATGTGCAGTTAAGGTAACCGCAGCCACCCGTATTAGCGAGCACTACACCAATTATGAAGTGGTTCAGAGACTAGCGGGAGTTTGTATCTACTGTACGCAGTTGCAGGGTGTGGTATATTGATTGACTGCAGTCTTGTACAACGCGGATAGATTCAGCCCCTAGGTAAGTTCGATAGCCACGCGAGTCGGTACAGTGCCGCACATATAGCATACGAAGAACTTAATAGAATAGCCTCTGAAATGCAACCACGGATAATCAGAACGCATTAATCCGAACTTTAATGTCCCAGCCATATACCCATTGAACTCTGCGGTCACCTTAACAGAGATTAACAGTAGCTTGATACGACTCTACAAAAGGTCTCGGGAGCATAGCTGTCCACTACTGGTTATGTCCATCAAATACAACTAAACCTATTCCAGGCGGATGCATCACCTCCTCGTCTACGAACTTCAAATCCACCGTCGTTAAGTGCAACCATACAACGGTAAACGGCACCCTTGCTCAAAGACACACTCCCTGCCTAGTCTAAAACATACATTCTGTATCAAGTTATTTGCATCTGTGGCACAAGGTATATTGGACACACGATTAAGTGTTTGTCAAAATGGGTAGCAGGACACTGCCCTGGATTGATAGGAAGAAGTATGCCAAGAAGCAGTTGTTTCTAAGCGGACACGAGATCCAGATAGCATACGCCTTCAGGGTTTTATACTCCGTGTCTCTAAGACAGTCTAAAGGGCTAAGAAGGATTCCATTGAAGACGGTGGACGCGATCGTTATTATGCTGATCCAGCCTGAATTTTGCAATCAGAAAGCCCTCATAGAAGCACTCATTTGACATGTGAAAGCTGGGCGAGAAAGCTGGGAGTCAACGCTCGCACGTCTGCCACCAATCGTGCTTGGGAAAAACCAGGCGAGCGTGTTACCAGGGCCCAGCCAAAATCAGATCAGACACCAGGCGTGTTGCCAAGGCCAAACCGGAAGCTGACGAAATCACGCGTCAGACATCACGTGCGTTGCCATGCGCCGGGCAGGAGAACGAAGACTGGAGTGCCTGAGAAACACGGTGAACTGCACAGATGCAGCGGACAAGTAGGTGTGGAGCGTGGGCTGAGCCAAATCCGCCTGGTGATAGTGACATATAAATATGACCGTTCTTTGCCTTAATACAACTCTGGTCTGCTGAGTAGTCTTCTGTCTCCGTTCCGGTCGGGTTTCCCAAGGCGTCAAACAGAGCAGACGTAAAGGCGCAGATTTCGCAGCAGGTGTAAATCAACCAGGCGATAGCGCGTACAGCGTTACAACAGTGCCGACGCGAGTACAACCGAACCCAGACATGGCAATTACCTTCGAACAATTGCAGATGCTGTTGCAGCAACAACAGGCACAGTTTGAAGCATCCCAAACCAAGCTGATCGAGATGTTAACTCAGAAGATGACAGTGCAGTCAAGCCCAGGGCTAGAGACAAGTGAAGGTGCCCCGCCACCAGAAACCCTGACTCAGCAGATCAGTGAGTCCCATTATGACGCTGATGCTGGCATAACATTTGTTTCGTGGTTCCACAAGTATGAAGATATTTTCCGGGTTGATTTTGCCAACCTTCCAGCAGAAAAGAAGATTCGACTGATGCTGCGGAAGCTGGGGGCTGCCGAACACGAAAAGTTCACCAATTTTATCTTACGTAAAAAGAGTATCGATTTGTCCTTCGACGAAGTGGTTACAGTCCTGTCGCAGATTTTCGGAGAACAGACATCTTTGTTCAACATCCGGTACAAGTGTCTGACAATAACCAAAAAAAAGACGAAGACTGGGTCGACTATTCCAGCCGTGTGAATCGAGAGTGCGAACGCTCACAACTACACAAAATGACAAGTGATCAGTTTAAATGTCTCATATACGTGTGTGGCCTACAAGCATCCAAAGACCCGACATTCGAACACGAATACTGAACAAAATTGAGCAGAATCCGGATGTCACATTGCAGCAAGTGACCGGTGGGTGCCAACGCATGACGAATGTGAAACACGATACCGCAATGATACAGCAGTTGTCTAACCAGCACGATCAAGATTTTGTCTGTGCAGTCAGCCGTACTCCCCAAAAAGAAGCTACGCACGTGAGTTCAACGCATTCTAAACCTCCCACTGCATGTTGGTTTTGTGGAGAGTGGCATTTTGCCCGCGAGTGTCCATCCAAAACTCACACTTGCAACCGTTGCGGCAGAAAAGGGCATAAGAAGTCATGTTGCCCGGGCGACTCGCCCAATTTTGACCAAGAAGATGCGTAACAATGCCAGACCATTCCGGCGTCCCAATTTGACCAGATCTATCACCGCAACATTCAAGGTTGACGGGGCCAGCAAGCGCAAATACACAATTGTAAAAATCAACGGCTTCCAAGTTAAGTTACAAATCGACACGGCTTCTGATATCACCCTGATATCTCGAGACACTTGGTGCATGCTGGGGCGACCAACACTCATACAAACAAACCACACGACACGGAATGCTTCAGGAGGTACGTTGATATTGCTGGGTGAACTGAATTGTCAGGTAAACTTCCGCGATAAACAAATCAAGACGATATGTTTCGTGACAGACCAGCCGGGGTTAGATTTGTTGGGGCTCGACTGGATGGATGAACTGAAACTGCTTGATCAATCAGTGAACAGTATGTCAGCCAGCGCAAGTCTATCTGCTGTCGCAATCGTCGACTTCAAGCCCGATGTTTCAAAGTCAGATTACCGAGATAGAACGACGTCACGATGGATTGTTTCAACCTGGTCTCGGATGCTGCAACATAGCTACTGCTGCATTGAACCTTAAACCAGATGTCAAACCAGTCTTTAGACCAAGACGCCGGTGCCCTACGCAATCCAGTCCTTAGTGGAAGCCGAGTTAAACCGACTACAATCTGAAGGGATAATCGAACGAGTTCACTATTAAGAATGGGCAGTATCTATCGTGGTGGTAAAGCAAGGTAAAGGTAAAGTCCGTATTTGTGCTGA